TTATATGCGGTTGGCGACACCGGCATCTCGCCGCAGTGATCGGGAGTGGCAGGCGGAGCCTCGGAGCCGATGCAGCAGGAGAGCTCGGAAGAGCGGGGATTCCAGGGTGAGGCGAGGTGGGCCGTGCAGTGAAAACGCGGGCTGCGCACGGTCATATTTCTGAATCGAGCAATGCCACGACCCGCGCATTGCCCTTGGAGCATGCCGTCGCGCGCGTTTGCCGTGAAGCTGGCGCGAGGGTCGCCCGCCACGTGCGGCTCGCAGACATGAACCTTGATGTTCCTGTCGCCGACGAGCGGCGCATCGAAGTTGTGGCGAACGGCTTCCAATTCGCCGTCGATGCGACCATCGTCTCCCCCCCCACCAAAGGCGGCGAAGCCCACCCGCGCGCCGACGTCACCGACGTCCAGCCGGGCTGCGCGGTCGCCGCCGCCGCGCGCCGCAAGCGCACCCAAACCTACCCCGAGTTGGACCAAGCGCGCCGCTGTCGGCTGGTCGTCGTCGGCGTCGAAGTGGGCGGCAGGTTTGGTACCGAAGCAGTACAATTCCTGCGCCTCCTGGCTGGCCATCGGGCAGCGTCGGTGCCGGCCCACCTGCGGTCCGCCGCGGTCGCCTCCTGGGTGGCTCGCTGGTCCGGACTGTTGGCTGTCGCTGCCCAGCGCGCCCACGCAGCCACGCTCCACGAACTCCCCCCTGCCGCCGAGCTCGGCGAAGGGCCCATGCATGCCTTGCATGAGGTCCTTGCCGATGCGCGCTGGGGGTGAAGGCGCGCTGTCCCCTCTTCCCCTTGCCTCCTTCGCCCGTAGTGCGCAGGTAGCACAGGGACCCGGACGTCTCGTTTTGCGGTCGTCAAAAAAAGGTCAGTCAGTCAGTCAGTCAAAGCCTCGTGTACAGTGACACATGGGCATGGAAGGAACAAGTAGTTCCCGAAGCAAAAAGATTGTACACGTTGTCGCCACACGTTCGGTGGAGACGCCCATAAACGCTTCAACTCATCAAAATCTCCTGCCACCTGTACAGCTAACTGATGCACCTGGGAGGTCCACACCTGTTTGGGGCGGCCTCGACATCTGGGTTTCATATGAGCTTGGAGCTGATACGAACCCTCCTCAAAAACACATGTTCGCATGACGTCCGAGGAAGGAAGCGCAGCAATCTTGCCAATGAGCTGCAAATGCCTGTGCATCAAAATTTTGGAATATGGTTTGGCCACAGCTTGTTGCAGAACCTCCACGTTGGACACGCGGCTGAGAAAAGAGTGGGATTCCAAGAATCTTGCGTAGACATCGAGCCTGGAAGCCATCAAGTTTTCGAAGGAATGCTTTGTTCAGCCAAGCTGTGTGCAGGCAGTGCAGCAACTGCGAGCCAATGCACGCATCGAAAATGGTGATTTTGCGACGCAAGGGAATGCTAGCATGTTTCCAAACTTTATTGAGAGCTTGAAAATCGGCCCTGGCCGAACCAAGCCGAGTAAACCAAGGACGATTTACATTCAATAGGGTGACCGTCAGGCTTCAACACATTGAAGTCGCAGCGAATCGGCATGGCTTCAACTTTGCGCCAATTGAAACACAGCCCATAATCTCCGCCAGCTTTAGCAATGCAATCCATGTTGCAGCCCGGGATGCTGAAAAAGCTACAACAACGGTGTCGTCTGCATACACAAGCTCATCGATTGCCAAGTCCGATTCAGAACGCGGCATGCGCAAACGCAAGTCGGCGGAAGCATCGAACAGCAGTACGGTCATCATCAAAGAGAACAGGAGTGGGGACAGTGGACATCCTTGAGAAATCCCAAAAGCCTGCTTTCGCATTGAAGAATTTCGCCCACAATCATGAACTCTGAACTGTCTGTCGCTGTAACTCGCACGTACCACAGTTTGCAAATGCTTTTCCAAAACTCGGGAGGCAGGCCGTCAGGGCCAGCAGACTTTCCATGTTTGAGGTTACGTGCAGCCTCAACCACCTCTTCAATTCCAATGTCCTCACATGAGACAGGCAAGGTGCGTGGGGAAAAAAATGGGAGAGTGTCGGCCCAGGATCCCCCAAAGTCCGCTGGCGCATGACCGACCGCACTGCGATGCACTGTGAAAGCCAAGGCGACTTGCCCAAATATTCCCTCAGCGGCGTCAGCGAAGAGAAATGAGGAAAAGGATGCGAGTTGACCAACCCGTGCTCCGCAGGCTCGGAAGCGTTGAACCGAAGGTTGCAAGACCGGGGGAGCGAAAGCTAGACCGACGTGCTCGAGAGCTTGTGTGAGCTCGGCGAGCCCGCAGCGCCTCGACCGCTCCCCGCCACCTCGCTGATGGGAGCGCGTGAGCTGTGCATGTGCCGTAAGCATGCCTGCTGTGTCGAGTGGCAGCAAAGGCACGTATACAGTGGAGAGTTGTCGCGCAAGCCAGGGGTGGGGAGCACTACGTAGTTGTGCATCGGAACCCCGCGCTGTATGCGCTTGGCTCACACGACGCCCTCGCTGCCGCTGATGCGCAGCTGCGCCCCGGTGAGTGTTTAGCGGCCTTCCTTGACGATGTTTACCACGTCACTACGCCCCCTCGGGCGCGCGAGCCACTCGACGTCGTTACCGCTTCAATCGAAACCCGGGCGGGCGGCGCCGCAATATCGGCAAAACTCGGGTGTACACCTCCTGGATCCTCTTGGTATCGCCGAGCTCGGGGAGGGCGTGTGGTGCGGGGATTCACATGAGACCGAGCGTGGGTTCGTCGCGTTGGGCAATCCCATCGGCCACCCACGCTTTGTTGCCGCCCACGCGGGCGCACGCTTGCTCGAGGAGGGAAGGCTACTGCATAAGCTCCGCTTGCTGCCTGACCTTCAATGCGCGGGGGCTCCTCCTCGCCATGTGTGCCTCACCACCCGCTGCATACTGAATGTTTGGGCCGACCCGCTGCCCGTTTTGCGTGCTCGTAGCGCGGACGCCCGTTGCCTTGCCGAGCTCACCCAAGGTCCTGAATCGGCCAAGGCTGGCAGCATCAAGGTTCACGCGCTTGCTCTACCCATTTCCGCGAAACCGTTGCTGCTTGCTTTGTCAGCCTCTGCCCAGGCCATGCTCCGCTCGCAGTCGGGGCCGCATCGCAGCCTGGCTCAGCGCCACCCCGTGCGAGGCTGGCACCGCTCTGCCGCCCGACCGCATGCTCATCGCTTTGCGGCGGCGGCTGCGGCTGCTTTTGCCTGTCGCCCCGCACAGAGGCGAACACGGCCACGGCTGCGGAGCAGTTGTTGATGCGTATAGAGACCACCATGCCGCCTGCCCCCGCACTGGTCCACTCGCCCGCCGAGCTATAAGCCGCTTGAGCACGCCTGTGTGCGCGTTGCTCGTGAAGCTGTCGGACCGGAGCTCGGCCAGGTCGTCCCGCAACAATGGCTTGCGCGCACATCGGCCACCAACATTGATCCGGCCGACAGCCGCCGCCTTGACTTTGTGGCGTACAGAGCTACTCCGGTTGGAGGGGCTCTATTGTGCTGCGATGTCACGCTCGTGTCCCCGCTGACACGGGATGCACGCCCCCAGCCTTCTGCCGCATCGCGCGACGGATTGCTGTCGGCTTCGAGCCGAGCTGCGCTCCTGCCGCCCTGCGCAGCGCCGCCGCTAGCCAGGGTTGTGCCGCTGGTGGTGCCTGCCAAGCGTGCTCTGCAAAGCGCCCTTGCTGCAAAGCTGCTTGGCACGCCAACAAAAAAAAAACAACATCGCAGGCGCTGGCATAGATGCATGCGGCTCCGGCGGAGCGCCTTCGTCGACGGGCGGGCGGGTCGCAAGCCGCAGCGCTGGCGGCCTTGGGGAATGCACAAAGGGTCAGCGTCCACACACCCAGTGCCTTTTCACGGCCACGCTTGTCGACCTCCCAATGCAACGGTTGGGTTGCAGCGTTCACGGGCGCCACATTAGCGTCAGCCTAGAAAGCAAGCCTAGAAGTTTTCACGCATCAGAAGACAAACAGCCTGACCCTTGAGGCCTTTGAGTCCGCTTGGGGCACCGAAAGGACTCGAAGCCGAGGACGCGTTGCTCCGCCAGCCATTTAAGTATTTTAAGTGGCCTGACCTGCAGTGCGCGTGGCTCCTCCTCAGCTTCTGCGTCGAACCCTACCGCATTAACCACGCGCTCCGGACCATCCCTCACGACTTCAATGCGCATGATGCCGCCGCACATGATGCCGCCTTGTGGGGCACCCTTCGGGTAAGGAGCTTTTGGCAGGCGCAGACTCTGTGCAGCAGCTCGACGCTCCAAAACTGCCCCGCCCGAACCCCGTGCGGCGGCGTCAGCCGGCTCGGCGAGGCGCTGGTGGGGCTTGCTGCCCGTGGTGGTGCAGCAGGCAGAACGGCATTGCGCGTTTGGGAGCAGCCACTGCAACCAGATACCAGTGAAGGCCCGCCGCTCGACACCCTGCTCCACCACGAGGCCCCCGCCGGCCAGAGTCGCCCTCACGCGAGTAGCATAGTCCGTAGGCTGTCAGGTAAACTAATCAACTGCGCCTGCGGCTAGAAGCTCTTTCGTTGGGCAGCTCGAAAAGTCCGTTTCAGAAGAAAAACTGCAAGGGGAAGCTCGCGCATGCAGTAGACGCCAGTCCTGTCCTGAAGTTCCTCGGCTTCTAAAAAATACCAGGGGAACCAGTTCCAAGGCTGGCAAACCCAGCGCAGGCAGTGTTCTTCGATGGCCTCTTGAGGGCTGGTGGCCAAAGTCTTGGCCTTCCGCACTTCCAACGAAGTGGATAGAGAGCCCAGGAATTCCAGTGAAGTGCTTACCAGCTGTAAGAGTGCTTACCAGCTGTACGAGATTGGCCTGCTTCGGGAAAACAGATGGAGAAAAAGGAGTGACCACAGGAGGCACTGAGGAGGCAGGGCAAGGGTAGAAGTGCTCCGACGCGGCGGGTGCCCCGGGCTCATCCTCCTCTGCCGCATGCAACGGTGGGCTTCCGTGCCCTCCCCTTCCACTACCAGGCACGTGCCGACGTCACCTACTACAACAAGGACTCCCACGTCTGGAAGCCATGCTGGCCACTTTACTCCCAGCCGGCGCGCTGCTACCGGCACCCTCAACTCGGGGGGGCGTAGAGGCTGGACCAAAGCCTCCATCCAGTGTGCACCGGGAGCATCTCTTGGCCAGAGGGAACAAGGTGTGCGAGTTCGGGCGCTACAAGCATTCCACCTACGACGCCGCCTGCCAGGACGAGGGGTACAGACGCTGGGTCATGGGCAACATTGACGAGGCCAGTGTATCTGGAATGAAAGCCCTGAAGCAGTACACTTCGAGGAGCGCAGCCAGTTCAACAACCACCACCCGCGCCTCGCTTCATGGCCATCCACGACGGCATCGACTACGAGCAGGTGACCAGCTCCGAAGGGGACTTAGTGGCGATCGTGGACGCGGGATGCAACATGTCGTGCCGTGGAAGCAGATGGCTGGAACGGTATACGAGAGCGACCAACCAGCCAATGCCGCCACTCGACGACACCCCAACGACAAGCCTTCGGGGCATCATCATCAATGGAAGCGTGGTTACTGGAGGCACGAGGCACTTGAGTCTTTGCCTCGAGCTCGTGGATGGTGGGATTGCCAAGAGCGATTTGCAGAGCACGGAGCTCTGCGACTCGGATGCACCGCTGTTGCTTTCCGTGCAGGCTCAGAAGGCCTTGGGCCTCATCATCGACGTCGCCGGCGAGGTGGTGCATTCCCAAACTCTTGGGCAGGACCTCAAGCTGGTCTTCAAGGACGGCCTCCTGGCGATCAGGCTACTACCCGGAGACTTGGAACTCCGGCAAGGACCCATGCCAAGCGACGCGACAGAGCCGCAATCACTGGATGATGACCTCAGTCACTCCGAAGATGGACGTGGATGGGAGATCGTCGAGGGGGAGAAGCATGCACCCGGACTCCAATGTCGGCTTCTTTGCGTTTGACGAGGAGAAGCCGCACGTGATGAACAAGCAGCAGCACGGCCGCATGAAGGATGGAGCGAAGACTGTGAGGACCCACGACCGCCACCTGTGGAATCAGATCCGACCGGAACGGCACCGACGGCCCAGTGAACTCCCACGGGGATGCCGGACCTTCCTGCTGGAGATTTTTGCTGGAGCGGCGATACTGACCCAGGTGGCATTCCAGGACTTCGGCGTGCCAGTATCACCACCCGTTGACCTCAACACCGGGTGCAATCTGCTTACTTCTGAAGGGCGTGCCGCGGTCGACCGGGTGATCGGGAGGGATGATCCTTTCGCCATCTCCTTCGCGCCAGTGTGTACACCCTGGACCTCCTGGACTAACATCCTCACCGGAGCCGCCAAGGAGAAGGTGATGAAGAACCGCAAGCAGTGGAGGCCAGTGATAAAGTGGATGTATGATGTTGTTGAGAGGAGATTGAACAAAGGATGCCACGTCTCGGTGGAAAATCCCTGGAACTCAGCCATGCGGAGCTGCCGGGAGTCTACGAACTTCTTTGAGAAGGGGCCCAAGGACGCCGGCACCGTGGAACCGGCGGAATGTGTGAAGGTGGATCAATGTGCATATGGACTACGCGACCACGACAACCACCTGCCTCACCTCAAGCCCACTGGGTTCCTCACTGCCTCTCTTCACGTGAAGCAGGAGTCAGAACATGGACGCTGCCCGGGAGACCACGTTCATCAACAACTGGACACCAAGGCACGGTGTGTTCGTGCACAGGAGTGGCCGCATGCCATGTGTGAGGCCATTGTCTACGGATGGATTCGTGAACTCGGTCATTGCTACATCATGGTGGCCTTTCCTGCCGAGGCGGAGCAGGAGATCGGCGAGTCTGACGACGAGGATATCCGACAACCTCGACGCCATCTACGAACCCAGCGACTTTGTCACAGGGATCTCCGAACCAGACAAGAATGTCCCTGACTACCTCCTCAAGAAGCAGCAAGCGGAGATGGAGGTGATCTACGAGGAAGAGCCGGCACCACCACCACCAGCGCCGGACGGAGGGAGCAGCGATGGCTAATCGCAACCGGCTATGGAGGCACCTACATCACATGACAGGTCATGCACCGCCGGCAGCCACTACTACGTACAGCTGGTGCCGACCCGAGTGCCATCCGTGGACTGGACAACTTCCGGTGCGCCGTCTGCGAAGAGAGAAGCGCAAGCCTAGCGCCCCAGCTGCGGTTAAGATGCCTGAGGAGTACCGTTTTAACAAGGCCATCTCCTTCGACGTCTTCATCTGCAAGGACGCAAGTGGCAGGAAGTATAAGATCATGTCGGTTGTGGACCTCGGCACGTTGTTCCATGTGGCCGCGATCGTTGGCGAGGGGTCAGGCCCACCGGCGTCCGGCGACATGGCCAAGGCGCTAAGTACCTGCTGGTTCTCATGGGCAGGAGTACCGGAAAGCATTGTGCTTGACCGGGACAAGAACTCGTACGAGCTCATGGAATCGTCCTTCGATACATTGGCGTGGCAGGTGCCTACCAACTGGGACGTGGAGAGCGCCAAGGAGGCATCTTGAAGGACATCATGAAGACCACCATCCTTGCCCGACAGCTGCGTGGCCGGCAAAACATGGAGTTTGTCGTGACCGAATCGGTCGGAGTCAAGAACCACCGTATCAACCACAACGGCTTTTCCCCAGCGCAATGGGTGCTTGGGAGAAACCCCCCGGAGATCGATGCCTTGACAACTCTTGATGCAAGCGCTAAGCTGGGCGTGCACCAGGAGATCCTGGACGGCGAGACCTCCTTCGCCCAGCAAATGGTCATACGTGGAGCGGCTCGAGAGTCTTTCGCCCAGGTGGATTCCTCGGCCTCGCACCGCATCCGAGCAGCACTGTTGAGGAAAAGTACGCCGAGCAGAGGCCCATTTCTTATGGGAGATCTCGTATGCTACCACAAGCGACAAGGAGCAAATCGACACTGGAAGTGGTATGGCCCCGCACGGGTCATTGGCCAAGAAGGACGAGGAACACTTTGGGTTGTTAATGCAGGCATCCCCCTTACGGTGTCAGTGGAACAATGTCGACATGCCTCCGGAAATGAAATGCTGGCCAAAAGGGTACTTGAACTACGACCATCACGAAAGCGGCGACGACAAGAGATGGAGGCAGAACCGGGACAAGATCAGGAGCTTGATGATGAAGCTCCTTTCTTGGACGACTTGGTTGGAGTTGGAGGACCCCCTGGAAATGAGCAACATGGGTTCTTTGATCTACGACCACCACAAGGGACCCCTACAACGAATGCCGAACAGGAGACCCTCGGACTTCATCCACCACCTGGTCTTCCTCCACTACCGCAACCAAATGAGGACATGTTGGCAAATGATCCGGAGCTAGAGACTCCGACTTCTGCCGAGCAGGAGATCCGCGGACTTCATCCACCACCTGGTCTTCCTTTGGCTACCGCTATAGATGAACAGCAATCCAGCAATGCAGGGTCCGTCGCAGAACCAGAACAAGAAATGGTGCCCCAGAGTCGTCGTACCAGTACTACTGAGGCCCCTGGAGCCGCAGCAACTACTTTGGCTCCTCCGACACCATCTCTACCTCCAGCGTCCGCTCTACAGCAAGCACTACGTCGTTCACCCGAGATGGTGGATGGAACACCGAGGACGAGGGCCAGATCGAGGTCGCCACGAGGACTCATGGCACATGCTTCGAATCCAGACATGAACCGTGGGTTCACTGGATTTCTTGCAAGAAGAGTCAACAAGAAGAGCGCATCGGCTCGAGCCAAGGAACTCCACTACGACAAGGTGGATGGTGAGGTGCGAAAAGGCGAAAAGGGATTGACGGAGCGAGAGCAAAAGAATGGGGCAATTGGCAGGGCTTCGACGCCGTGGAGATCATCGCGCCTGAAAATGTGCAGGCGATCTTGAAGGAGCACCCGGATGTGACGATCACGCCTACGAGATGGGTGGACAACAACAAGGCACAGCCCTGGGAGGATCCGCGATACAAGTCGCGGATTGTGGTCCGAGGAGACTTGGAGTCTGGGGCCGATGAGGCCCGTACGGATAGCCCCACTGCTTCCTCTGTCATGCTGAACCTGCTCCTCTCCGTCATCGCGAACATGGAGTGGAGACTGCGTGGCGGGGACATCACCGCCAGCTTCCTTCAAGGAGATGTGATAGAACGGGTGCTGATCCTCAAGCCTCCACCAGGAGGACTCCCTGGCGTACCACCTGGAGCACTTCTACGAGCCAGTAAGCCAGTCTACGGCACGAAAGATGCGCCCCGTGGCTTCTGGAAACGTTTACACAAGGTGGCTACGTCAAAGGGACTCAAGGCTGCACCGCATGAACATGCAGCCTATGTGCTTCAAGGAGAAGGCGGACGCATAGATGGCATGGTCATCGCCCATGTGGACGACCTTCTCTGGGGAGGAACGGAGGCCATGGACAAGGTGATGGACGAGATCACCAAGGAGAGTTCAAATTCGGAAGCCTCGAGTTTGGCGACAAGTTCGACTACTGTGGGAGGACCATTGAGCAAGGAGCAAGTGGGATTACAGTGACGTGTCCTAACAATGCCGCCAAGGTCCGCCCGATCTATGTGGACGCTGCTCGCAAGAAGCAGCGAGACAGCCCAGTTACAGAGCCGGAACGCAATCAACTACGCAGTGTGGTTGGAAGCCTGAACTGGCTAGTACGGGTATGTCGTGTGGACCTCGCCTACGAGGTGCATCGACTACAGTCGATTATGTCGAAGGCGATTGTGGAAGATTTGGTCATGCGCAACCAAATCCTGAACTATGTGAAGAAAACGTCCGACAAGGGGCTCTTCTACAAGTACAAGGCCTTTGACCTCTCCGACGCGACCATCTACAGCATCACCGATGCCAGCCATGCCGCAGATTTCGATGTTTCAACAACAGGTGAACCACTGGGAACCGATCCCAGTCCGGCCATCTTCTACTACTTGGACCGAGCGAGTTCGGGAACACTGGGAAGGGCTGCTTCCACGTCATCGAGCACCACAGCAGCGTCATACGCCGAGTTTGTCGCTCTACATTACAGGCCGAGACGCTCAGCATGGTGAGTGGATACGAGGGGGCAGAACATCTTCGACAAGTTCTACATGGGCTGCATACCTTGGACAAGGCGCCCGGCGAAGTTACCGATGCAATGGACAAGTACAACCTTGTGATGATGACAGATTGCAAAATCTTGGAGCAGCACCTCAAGCAGCCGGGACTACACACAGATAAAAGGCTGGCCATTGATCCCAGTGATCTACGCCAGCTTGTGTGGCGTCTCCCAGGCGAAGATTTCGGAGACCCGATGGTCTCAGATCGGCCGCCAGAGAGCGCCACCACAACGGTGACATGGATCGATACAGCCTCGATGCTTGCAGACGGACTGACCAAGAGGATGAGCAGTCCCCAGCTCGACGAGATGATGAAATATGGGACTGTGTCCTTCAGCTTTGTAAAGATCGACGGCTCACGGCCAAAGAAAATTTTGAAAATTTTAGGGGTGTGAAAGCGCACATGTCACTGACATGTCACAGACATGTCCGAACATGACGGCAGACGCGAGCTTGGCCGTGACCTGTGGCTCAAGCAATGCGAGCAAAAGGGACCGATCGCTCCAGTGCATTTGCAAGCTCGTTTTGCCCTGTGGCTTTCGAACGCTTTCGAAGAGGGGGAGCCACTTACCATTGGCAAACCTTTCAAAACTTTGAAACAACGATGCTCATGGGACGATGGGCAGATAAACAAACCTGTCGCATCTACCTCGCGCACTGCTGGTGCAACAACAGCTCGCAGTTTCCGCCCTCCCACACCTCGCCCGTTTCGTAGCCCAGTGCAGACTACTCCTCCTGCGCGGTTAGCGCTGCGCGAAGGAGGCAACCGCCCCGAAGGTTTTTGAGTGGGTAGCGCTTTTGAAGTGGGAGGCGCACCGCGGTGCCGTTTCACTTGTAGCCTGCTACCCACGGGTGAGCTCGGGCTCTTAGCTTTTGCGAGGAGTTGGCTGGCCCTCGGGGCCCCCTGCATGGTTTTTCGCCTGTGCTGTGGTACGTCCACGGGTGCGCGGAAAAGCCAGCCCGCGTGACTCACGAGTCCAGTGCGGTCTTGGGCCGCTTCTTGAGAGCTTGCTCTGTGCCCAGGCGCGGTCATGTTCTTCCGACGCTTATTTCGCAGACTCTTGGACGTGCGGGTTGTAGAGCCACAATGTTGGGACCCATGGCCATGGCGTCGACTTCCAAGAATCTTCAGGTTCCCTTTCATGAAAGTGCCTAATATTGATTGTGCGAACCTGGTGTCAATGTGACAGCACTGGAATCGCATACCTCCGAATGGGCTCGTACCAGGTGCTGCATCTTCGTGTGCGATCAGCACATCCCGGTCAGCGCGATGCAGACTGTGACTCGCCGACAGAGCTCTTGACTGAATGAGCAATAGCTTATTATTGCACGCTTGTAGTGCCGGCTCGTCCAGGTATTCGTGTGAGAGCCCCAGTTGCCTGGTTATTCTCGGCGCCTGGACCGCTGCCAATGCACCAGCTTGATCTAAGGTCATGCCCTTCAACACTTGCAATATGATAAAAGAACACCTGAAGGCCTGGTAGCCATCGATTAGAGCAAATCGGGCTCAGCAAATGATGTCAGCCAGGCAATGCACCCTGGCCTAAACGCTTGTTCCTGAGATCTCCCGGTGTTGCGCATGCTACAGAAATCTTCAGCGCAAATGAACTCAGTCTTGTGCTCTTTGACAAGACTTGTTTGTAAGGATCTGCGCGACAACGAGATTAGGACCGCCGTCATGTTGCTGTTGTAGTGATGAGAGCACGACATTGAGTTCGCAGTGCCAGGCTACTGCACAAGGGCATCGAGCTTCACGGGGGTTTTTCCCTGAACTACTATCTTCACAGTGCGAATGCAGAGAGGTGCCTTCGGAAGTTGATGTCATGGTTATGTCGCGACATGACACCCATGCGACAGTCCGGCTGAGCTCCAATACCTCATCATCAATCACGGGGCAGAGAGGAACAAGACGGCACGGGCCTCGATGCTACCCACAACAGCTGCTGCATGCTTGCAATCCGTAGTTGCAGATTTGCACGTGTATGCAACTGCCCTGCCTGCATTGCTGCATCCAGGCACAGGACACTGGCATCTACATTTCTCAACAAGTCCCAACCCCGCAGGGGTTGAAGGACTTGGCCGCGATCTTACGGCACCTGCACGTGTACACATGCCGAGCAGAACAGGCGCTCATGTTTCCGTCTGTTGGAAGGTGGAAGAAATATCAGATGCATTGCTTGGCGGAATTAAGCCTTCGATCACCGACGATGGAACGGGCGCGACGTGCAACTGGCATGTTGTAGAAACACTTCGCAAGCACCTTGGAAGCAGCGTCAGATGTCCCGACTTCTCAAGGTACAAGCTTCACGGCCCCTCGTCTCCCAAACCTCTGGCTGTGCCGACCGCTTAAAAGTTGTGAAGCTGATATGGCCGTAAGATCATGCCTAGAGTCTACAATTGGCGGACTCCTTTTGCTTGGTTGTGTCGTTTAGGAGTTTCCTTTGTTGCTGCAGGTTCAAGCCCAAAGACGAGGAAGCGTTTGCCCCCAACAATCCACGGGGCTATCAGGGAAAGGACCTCAGAAGTTCTACTGGTGCATGCCCATGGCAAACTGCGCTGGTTTCATGGGCAGGAGAACTCCGTTGGCATGAGACCTGGCATCCTCTCGACGCAGCAAGCTGTGCGCGAGGTGCTTGCTATCCCATTCCCACTGACTTTCCAAGATCGGGCTTTAGACATGACGGCAACGACAATAGCGAGCAGATGTGTATACGCGACGTCAGAGCATGCTGCCGTGATTTATCATTTCGTGAGCTTGAAAGACTTGCCCGCAGGTTGCGGCTTGTCTGCTTGACCACAAAAGTTACGCGGGAGTGCCTCCCACTACTTTGGTGCGCCATGCAGCGATCTCTGGTGTCAGCGTCTCACATGGATGAAGACTGTGAGGTACATGCCAAGCATGAGGAGTTCGTCAACCCTGACAAAAGCAAGGCCCGGGTCGTGACACTGTCGTTGACGCTTGCTTTCCTACGAAAACGAAGATTTCCTTGGCGCTTGAATTCTGAAGCCTCAACAAAAAATGAACGTTTGTCGTGAAACAGACTCCTGGAAAATTCCATCAGAAGCTGGCCCGATTTTCGATTGCACTCTGGCAGTTATCTTGCATGCAGCTCTCGATTCTCTCCGCCGTCTCCTTCTCTGGGCGGTTGTAGGGCCTGCTCTGTAACAGCTGTGAGCGAAGCAATTATAGCTTGCTTGAGAGAGTTGTAATGTAGAAACCAAGCCGACTAAACGGACTGCATGGGGGGCAAACGGATGGTGCCAGCCGTATGTCTCGAGGGGACGTTCAAGATGCTTAAAGCCTGACTGAATCGTTTCATCTTCTGCACCCTCCTGGTCGCATTTCCCATGAGGGCTCTTGCACGCACCGGTATGCGAGGGTCACAGGCGGAATTGTTGAGTTGACAGTGCCGCCACCAAGCCAATGCCTCTTGTCTTAGAAGGTCGTTCTGGTGGCTAGAAAGGTAGGGCTTTGAGCCGTGGCATGCGGGCCAGATCAAGATCAACGTTGGAATTTAACTTCGCTCAGGGCGAAGCCAGGCCCAAAATCATAGCCAAGCGAATTTAAATAGCAAGGTCCAAGACTATCGAGGCCCTGAACCATCCCAACCCCATGTGCTCAACTCCGATGCTTGACACGCCTGACTGAAAGTTGAGATGTGTTGCGACCTGTTTTTGCAGACATTGCATCTTTTGACGTTGTGATCCGCTTGGAGGTTGAATGGAAAGTTGGAGCGTTCCAAGAATTTGTGAATTCATGTGGCACCTGTGGCGACATGGGTAATTCAGTGGGACGCTCACCTTCTTTAGTCTCAGCCCGCATGGATTTCCAAATGCACCGAGGTTTTTAGCGTTTCAGATGTGCATAGAATTGGTATTCTGGATGCCGTGGACTCAGACCTCTGCATGCAGCATGAGTGTCAAGAGCTGATGCCAGCAGGAGCTAGGTCTGGGGGAGCTTCCGGCCTCTGGGGAGGATGCCACATGTAGGAGAGAAGCGGAATGCTCCTGATGCTTATGATGCTGGCTCTTAGTGCATGGGGTTGTAACGTGGTTCGATGCTTTGAGGTCCGGATCATTAATTTGGACAGAAACGACGGTAACCTGTTGGTTACTGACCGCACGAGGCCCTTTCCGTGGGATCTCAAAAAGGGAAGACAGTGAAGCGGCTGAAGCGCTTGAGCTTCGCCAGGCCAAAGCTCATACCGATTGATCATGGCCTCAGTCTGCCCGACAGACTGGAGGCCTAATGTGCCTCCACACGGCAGTATGTCGTTTGACAGCGAAGTGTCGGAGGCGTATACATCCCACGTGGTCTGGATGGACTGGCCGCAGGAAGGGACCTTTTGCTGTCGGAGAGTGGGCGTAGGTCTCGGGCATGGGGCCAGGCGCAAGAGCCCTTTGCTCAAGCCGAGCTGGACTACATTAGGCGTCTAGTTCTGACACTGTCTCAGTCGTATCTTCGGTGAATGGCCTTACCGCCGAACAGGTCGCTGGAAGCGGAGCAAGATGCTAAAAGTATCGAGATGCAGCTCGGAATTCGCGCGAAGCCCTGCATGAGCGCATTGAGCATGACTGTATGCCTAGATCTAGTTATCTAAGCTGTTCTGTGCGTTCGGAGGCCGGGAATGCCTGCGCTTGCTGGAGGTGCCACGGGCTCAGACGTGCGTTGCAGTAGCTCAGACAGATGAGCCGCGTTGTTTTCGCGTTTCTTTCATTATGAGTAGGCCTGGATCTTCGAATGGTTTCAGCCGAAGAAAATTGCAGGGACTCTGTGTGCGGAAGCTCCACCTTAAGATATGTCATGCCGCAGAAATCCCAAATGATGATCACCATCTGCAAATTTATCAGGACGATAAGGGACGTGCGCGGAAGCTCCGCGGAAGGTGGACCCCTAAAAGTTGATCCCAAGCCCCCATGAACTTAAACCGGCTTTGGGATTCAAAACCGTTGAAAGCAAAGCCACCGAATTTCCCTACCCCGAAGGTCTTGAACCCAATTATTGGCAACCGCCGAAATTGAATACCTTCAGGGCCTTGACCTGGAAGTTGGATTGGAAACCGACAGCAAAACCCGAATTTGTACCCGGAATGCCTTACCCCCACTTATGGATTGGAAACCCTCCGAACCTCCCTACCCTCAAGGGCTTACAAGCCGAAGCCGAAAGCCACCTATAAGCCTCTTCAGATGTGCTTGCTTGTGTCTTCACGCGCTTTATGTAAGCTTGCATCCTTTCTTGGTGGTTGAAGTTGCACTCGCGGTTTTCCCTAGCAAACAGCCTCCTCAAGACTTGAGCCCCCACTTGCGGAAGCAAACCCCGCAAACTCAGCGAAACAGCTGTTGCGGAAGGGATCCGCGGAAGCGATATGAGAACTGAGGCCCGTTTCCTCATTTCCATCCACGCAAGCAGGAATAAAAACCACAGCTCACAACGTGATTTGAACTTATGCGGTTGTCCTTCGGATTCACATGCCTGAGCTTCACCAAGAACCACCAACCTCCTCAAAATCGGCGCAGAGCGCGGGCTTACACTCCACCAAATAGGCCGGAAGGAGATGCCATGCCCAAACTTGCAGTGATCAGCATGAAGATATGCCCGAAAGGCCACATTCTGTACCGAGAAGATCCGGATGATGGTGACGGCAAACCCAGCCTCTCGGTAGCACTTGATCCTCTTGCGGCCGGCAGTCGCTGCTTAGAGAACAATGGAGGTGTGCTGGAAGGGATTATCTCCAAATGCGCGCTTCTCGGAAAGCTTTTCGGTTCCGGAGACGACGTTGCAAGAAGATTTGGGAGGCATCGAATCTGCATTTGCAGCCACCGGCCAATCTTCTGGAAGAGTGCGCCGCTGCAAGAACTCCTTTTTGTCCCAGTCCCGCAAAAGAAGCTTGCTTGTTTGTGGTTGGGGAGGCTTCCTCGACGGTGGAGAGCCTTGACCTTGTGCCGTCTTTGCGGCCAGAAGCGCGGGCTTGGCGCCGGCCGCCCAAGCTGCCAAAGTTGGCTAAAGGCAGTCGCAGGATCTGCGTTCTTGCGGGCAAGGAGAAGGTCAGCATGGCGGTGCCGGACAGGATCGTGAGCTGCCACCTCAGTTCCGTTGTGCGGATGGGCCTTGGACGTCGAGAGCTGACTGCATGTTCGTCTTCAGTAGTTGGAGGGTGGTGGAACGGGTAGTCCCATGGATTATTGAAGCCTTTGCTGCATATGGACTGCATTGGAACTAGTCTAAAACTACCGTTATGTGTCTACGTCTGACATGCTTCGTTCAGCTAGTGTGACGTTGTCCTCAAAACATGCCTTACGAGATTGTACGTGGTCTGAAACAGTACGTTATCTTGGATTGTTCCTGCAGCATCCAGCATTTGACTCCACGGAAGGGCACACGCTCACCGAGATCCTATTACCGCAGTGCAAACAGAGGGTGATGGGGGGATTGGGCAGAGGCAGCGCATTCTTAATCGAGGACACTGGCAGAGGTGGGAGATTTCCGTTAATCTACTCCAAACATATATCGCTTCACGATGGCTCTGGATGTCGCCACTTCTTCACCCGAATCGGGAGTACTTCGCTGATCTGCAATCCTTACAGCCTACAGTCCTACAGCTGTCTATCTTATGTCAAACCCTGAAGCTTCATGTACCTCAATGGTTGTCGAGTTCGCATCAACAAAGACCGGGAAGAGCAGCCACCTGTCAAAGGTGGGTCTTGAGTATGTGCCAGAAACTCTTTGAGTGTCCTGCCTTGGCCCTCGAAGCTTTATCCAACTGGTATGTGGACAAGGAACAATGGTTGTCTTCTTTCCGACTGCAAGAACATGGGCTGAAACTATTGGAACACGGCACAAACATTCACAACAACACATGGTTGAAGTGGCGGGATCCCCTCTTGGCAACAATCCGTGCAGTCTTGCTCGATCGTGGTTTCGATGATATATGGTCGTTTAAGTGGTTGTGTGAAACCTCTGGATGTCTTGAACTATCTTTCTGTGGTACGCTGAATTGTGTCTTGGCGCAGTTTATAACACGTTTCCTCATGCTGCATGACGACTTATTCGTGGTGCAACTGGTATGTCCAGCTGCTGTCGTATCATTGCATGGAGGCCTCATGCGGAAGATTATGCACACACAGCGCACACACACACAATTCCGCACAGCTGCCTGAAATCATCCCAGATGAATGCGCGATGCATGTGAGGTCCTTGTAGTCATTTCGGTAGTCCCATTTCCCGCATTCCGTTTTCTTGTAAATACACGCACAGCGAAACCGCTGTGTATTGCGTCGCGGCTGACAGGTAACTGCGTCCGTGTGAGAGAGAGAGAGAGAGAGAGAGAGAGAGATCCCCAGTACCTTCTCCGAATGTCGGGGTCTGGCAAGACTGGGGCATGCTTCTCGAATGCTGCCAGGCACGGCACAGCTGGCAGATACAGGTGCCTTGATGCGCAAAGATGCGCACAGAATCAAAGAAGGCCTGCTTCCTTCGGACCTTGCTCTTTGCGCCCTTGATTTCAGGCACCATCTTTCCATTCCGTCTTCTGCAGCTCAGGAGGGTTCAGGCCTCCTGCGTGTCCCGCACGCCTCAAGCTTGCATCTATCCTTGTGAAGCTTTCTGTAGGCAGCGATGCATCAGGCGGAATCTTCGCAATACCCTGCCGGGGCGGTCAACACCTCATGTTGCGAAGAGTTTATGATTATCCTCTCTTGTCCGCGACCACCAAACCTGAGGCTTCCACTGGGACACAAGCCTGGAGGAGGCGGGGACCGTGCTGGCACGGACCATGCGTCAGGGGCGAGTGGCGCCGACTCACTCATTGGGAGGCTTTCTCCCGCCATGTGACGGTCGAACTCTGCCGCTACATTGACAAGCATTTTCCTGCAGTGACAGCCTTAGACCACGGACTTCCACGGACCGTGCTTTGCTGCACGTGTCGCGCGCAAGCACCGTAAGATGCTTGCGGCGGCAGGTTTCCAGGCACATGCAAGCAAGCAGAACTGCAGAAACTAAACGCCATTGGCCTCTCTATCAAATCTGTGTTATGTCCTCCTTCTCGGCGTACTCCTGTGCAGAGTGGATGCTGCAGTGCTCCTCGGCTGTCAAGGAAGCTCCGATCTCGACCCCGTTAACTCCCTGCACTCGTAGCGTCGCAGAGTTCAGGCGCAGAGACAGTCTCGAAACTTATGTCAATGTACATCTATGCCGTCTATGCCTCACAGAGATCGTGGCATGTAGCAATGTAGCGACGGAGTGTTGTACCATGTGTGGGCCCCCCTCGGTGTACATTGTACATGTGGACACAGAAAAGTTTATGTGCAGGACAAGATTGGTAATGGCAATCGTGCTCCCGCCGCAGTGCCACAGGTAGTTTAGGATGAAACTTCTCTACGCACCACAGTCCCGTGCATTTCCAATCGTGCTCCCGAGACTATCCTGTGGTCGTCTCTCGGTGTCGCGTGCAATTTAATGGCGGTCACGACAACATGTCTTCGGCCAAGGAGGAGAGCGAGAGCCAACCTGGCCAAGGACAGTTATCGGAACTTGAGGGTCCTTCCGGGTCCTTGCGAGAATCGGCATGCCACGCAGCGAGCCCGAGCATGAGGTGTGATGCTGTAGCTAGAGCAAGGGTTCTGAGCTCCTGCAGCGACTTGCCTTGGCTGCCGTGCGTACATCCTACTAGAGTGTGATTCAACTTCGGGCGGCCTCTTGCAAGCGAAGCTTTCATCTGGTGCACAGGGTTTTATTTCGAAGGTGCTGAACATATCGGGTCGGAAACCAATGTTCTGAGTGCTTGTGACCCTAGCCCGACCCGCAGCCTCCTGGAAAGCAGCCTACGGACAGGATACCCCGTGCTCTTAGGGCTTCCAGCAGCTGGAGACTTAGACAGGAGATGGTCTCCACTTTGATCCCTGACTATCCGTTGCCGTACTCTGCTGCTTTTGTTGAAAGTTGTCTAAGCCGCCAAGGCCGATAAACAGGATTAAACAGGCAACGAAGATCTGCCCTGTGGCGGCAGTCCCAGGGCATTGGGATCCCGGCACAGAAGCCGGGTAGTTGGTGCTGGCAGTGTGTGCATCATAGCGTACAATGGAGTGTGCCAAGTTATATGACAATGTTGACGCAAGCTTTCTCCAATCAGGCTACCATTGGAGAGGCAGGCGGGTCCTCTTCAAAGGTACGTCTTTCTGCCCCCGCGTTGTAGGTCTCGACCCAGCCCCAAACGGTGCACTCGCACAGGCATCATTGCCATACACGACCACGGAGGCCGGGTTCCAGAGCAGTTTTGTGGGTCCTCTGTGTTCGGGTGATGCTGCATCTCCGGGTGACATGTGCCAGATATCCTTTGACATGATGTTTCACTGTTTGCCTGGATGGGCCATCGGAAAGCAGTCAAACAAGCCTGCACAGGTTTTTTATGCTAGGCAGTGTTGTTATGTGCTTGTTGGCTGACGGCGTTGACGGTCCCACAAGCTTTCTCCAATCAGGCTACTATTGGAGAGGCAGGCGCGTCCTCTTCAAAGGTACGTTTGTCTGCCTCCGCGTTGTAGGTCTCGACCCAGCCCCAAACGGTGCACTCGCACAGGCATCATTGCCATACGCCACGGAGGCCGGGTTCCAGAGCAAGTGCTTGTGATGTCGTCAGTGCTACTGGTGCCATTGCTTTTTGTTGTCCAATCCATGTTTGTAGTATTGCTAGTCTCGCTACACCTATTGCTACTGCTGTTGTGCTTCGGTGATGAATTTAAATGCTGCTATGATCGTCGTTATGTTGCTGTTTCTGTTATGCCGACTTGAGACAGTTGAGATTTCTGGGGGAGTGAATCTGCTGCAGGGGCTACACGGCTGGGATTGGCTGGGCTTCGTCCATGTGCATGCAGGGCAGGGGCGAACAGCGTGTGGGGAAGTACGGCCTATAGACAAGGTCCTTCACGCACTGTTGCAAACTCGGCTGGGTCGGGAACGAGTTCAGGTTGCCTCAAGGTGAGAATGAAGATAGGTCAGTATACCGCAAGTGACGACAGGAGTCTTAGCAAAAAGGGTTGACAGCGATTATCCTTTTTGCATGTTGGTTGAGGCCGAGCCTGAACACCAACGTGCAATCAGCTTCATGCTAGTCGGTCTGTTTGCCCACATGACACCGATACGCCGGTGGAGCGCAGGTCGAGGCGACAATGATGGGGCGCGCGGCGGAGGCGGAGGCGGAGGAGGCACTGTCTTATGGGTCCGCGGAGTCCGCTGTGTTGGGGTGACACTGTATCTCCGGGTGACATAATGAATACATACTTAGACATGGTGTCACGTCATTTGCCTTGTCATTGTTTCATTGATCGGTGCTCCTTGAGCTTTTGCTGTTTGTGTCCTTACTTGCTTCGGCCAGCCTTTTGTCCCCTAGCGTGAACTGAAAACAAGGTTCGAATTTGCAGGGCAGGTTTCTGAAACATGTCGTGGTGCGGAGTGACAGCAATTCGGTCGCAGGACCCGCTCCTGCAGCGCAAGGCACGAGTTGAACGTTGGTTGTTCGAGTTCACTGCTCTTCGCATCACGATCCAGAATGCCCAGCTCTGAGCCGTGTAATCATGGGAAGCCGGCAGTTCCAAGGTTCCTCTACCCACATGCCACTGGCCGTGATAACAAAAACGCACATTCCTGCAATTCAAAAGATCTCGGATGCTGTTGATTTGCAAAGACCCTTGAAACAAGCATCTCTCAGCGCCAATGCCACAATTCTGAACTTTCACTGCAACATTAGCATTCCAGCCCCTCGTGTTTCTGGATTTTGGGGAATAGAAACTAGCACGCAGGAGCCTCAAGAACCCCAATTCTCAACTTGAAGGTTGGGACTGGAATCGTAGTAGACGTATCATTGGTACTATTACTCAGCTATTCTTGGTGTTGTATGCTTGTTGTTATGCTTACCAGCAGCAGCAGGAGTAGGAGTAGGAGTAGGAGTAGTAGTAGTAGCAGTAGCAGTAGCAGTAGCAGTAGCAGTAGCAGTAGCAGTAGTAGTAGTAGTAGTAGTAGTAGTAGTAGTAGTAGTAGTAGTAGTAGTAGTCGCAGTCGTCGTAGTAGTAGTAGTAGCAGTAGTAGTAGTAGTAGTACTACTACTACTACTATGCAGCACCAGCTACACAACTCGAGTAGCAGGGCAGCAGAAACAGTGGAAGTGAAGATAACGGCCTCCAGATGCTGCCCAACCTTCGTGGCCAAAGTATCAGAGGCCTGTAAGCTCTCGATTCTGAGCCTGGCAGGTAGCACGCGTCCAACACGTCTCGTGTTTGCGGCGCTGCTTCTTGCGCTGCTGTGTCTTGGATGCACTTAGTGAAGCAGCCCCCATGCACTGCAAGTCCTTCAAGTCCACCGTGAAACCCGAGCCGAGGCCCGGGCTTGGCCAAGCGGGGTGGCGCTGGCAGGGATTTTTTTGCACTGGCCCGCACCGTGGAACGGACGGTCATGACGTCCTTTGCTGTCAAGGCCAGGATGATCATCACCTGGCACCCTGCGAGGAGTTCGTCGAGCATGCATCTGTTTGTACAAGTGCATCTGACGAGAGTTGACATGTTGCACCAACCCCAATAACACTTCAGCTGCACTTCGGGCTACAGTATGACAAGTCGTGATGGACTTGAAGCCATAAGCCAGCGCGACGAAGGTGGTCGTCATGATCACGTAGAGCACCACCGCCTCCTCATTTGCTCTTGCGGTTCGGGATGGCCCACAGACCTAGACGAGAAAACGTTGCAAACCTTGTAGGGCTTCGGCTCGCTTCTTCTTTAGGGCGCCTGAAGCATAGTTGACATGCTGATCTTTGCAAGTTGTCCCGGAGATGGAAGGCCTGCAAGGCTGCTCTGATGTTGCTCGAACCCAACGAAGGTGACTCGTTCACCTCCACTGCATCGTAGCCGCCTCTGCTGTCGGTGCAGAGGGTCTGTCGTTCCACGGTCATTCGCGGATGATCGCCATCCATCCGGGTCTTGGATATCCATACCACAAACAGCGCTCCAGATAATGCTTGGCCTAATGCAGTGAGCTTGCGATTCAAGTCAAGCCACAAAACCTTAGGAGCAGTCGTACGCCCATACAATGCGCATGATCCCTTCTTCTCCTACTCCGAGTGCCTCTCGGAGTTCTTCTACTCCGAAGGTCCAGATCTCGTGGTCGGCCTCGGTGGGCAGTGTCTGCCAAAAGGCGGTGCTGTTGTCGAGGCCTTCGATGTCCCACTGCTCACGCATGGCCTTCGCGTAGAGCAGGTTCCGCCCCAGTGTACTCCGTGCAGACTCCGCACTGGTGTGACTGCTTCATGCTTCACAAAGCGCTCAACCTCTTTCATCTTCGCCCTCTCGACGAGTTTGCGATCACCTGGTGACAGTCTCGTGCTAGAGACCTCGGAATCACGGTGTTTCTTGAACATGAAGCTGACGGGGTTGCGCTCCAGCTGTTGTCGTTGTCGATTGAACAAGCTACTAACATCAAACTCAGCCGTGAGGCGCTCAACCACATCACCAATCGAATCCTAGCATGTAAAGAGGTCACACTTGTCCTCCATCTCAGCTTCAATGTGAA